ACTTTCTTCATTCAAATATTTCGATAAATTCTTTGAAACTACAGCATATCTGTAAAGTAAAGTACATAACGGCGAGGCTGCTAATAACGATATAAAATTTACACAACTAAAATTCAATTGCTATGCAATTTTTATTCAGCGAAGTAGAACACTGTTTAAAAAAAAGCATTTTATTGGTCAAAGTAATCACTGTGAAATAGAAAAAACATCACTTCTTCGTGAACAAACTGGTCGCACAACAGAAGGGTTTGAAATGTTACGCAGTAAATACCTCAAAAGTATTTTTGGCAGCTTTTGAAACAATTTAGAGTTGCTGAGGCACAAAAACATTCTAACCGCTGGAAACCAGGTGGTCGGTTAGGGCGAGGTTTGACAAATTAAGCAAACAGCAGGAAACCTCGAACAGCGGCTGACTTAGTTATTTAAATATTGTAGAACAAGTGAGAAACTGCATATGTTAGCCTCAAGTGGGCAAAAAACTGAATCAAATATTAGTAATAAATTTAAAATGTTCCTATATATTGGTAAAACAGTTTAATTCGTTTAAATTTGTCAACAGATGTCTTACAATGCTGATCGAGATTTTGTCCTGCGGTAAAACAAGTTTACCTATAGGAGATTACAAAAACTTTTCTCCACTAAGCAGTAGATGTCTTGTGAACTAAACTGTAATGTTTTGTCATGTTTTTTTTAAAAAGACAACATGTTAAACTACTACCTGTAAATCTAAAAAAAATCGTAGATCAAAAAATTTTTGTTTTGAATATTACGCCTTTACTTGTAAACGTTTAATTTTACGCTTAAAATTAAAATATAAAGAATTGTTTAGAGGTATTTCATTCAAATGATATTCAATAAAAACTGTAGACAAACTGAAGAAGCTGAAATAGATGTGTTATTTGCTTCAGAAGTACTAACAGCCTGTACAATTTAATGCATAATTTCTCGACTTTTAAACCTTATATAATGCAGAAATTATTTGCTGTAATTCAACTGCGTCAGTGTTTTAGCTATTTATGGTTGAGCTTTTAATTTTGCCCAGTTATAAAGTGAATAAGTATAAGAAAAATTCTTGAATAATATTCAAAAAACTTGTTCTCTATAAAACAGTGGTCCTTTCTTTTTATGTTTCTCAAAAAATTTGATGCGGCATTAGCGTAAACAGAAAGGTTCAACAACCGTTTTTCTACTAAGCAAGTTAAAACAGTATAATCACCAAGTCAAAACTTGCTGACCAATTTGTAGCTTCGTTTTGCATGATTCTCATAAATCGTTAAAAAATTTTAGGCTTATTGCGATGTTAGACGAAAATAGCACTTGAAGCGCTACTTATAAATTTGTTTTTATTTTTTTGAAGATTTTTTCTTTCTTTTTTTTTTTTTATTTTTAAGAAGCTTAAGGTTTTTGTTATCATTGTTCCGTAACTGTCAATAAAATCTCACGTGTTTAAAAAACGATTTGGTTTGACAATATTTACAGCATTAATTTTTGATCTTAAGTTTAACAACACTATTCTAAATTACTATTTGAAGCGCTCGAATAACCACTGAACTCTAAAAAATAGTTGATGCTAAAGAAAAAAAGCGTTTTAAAGTTATAAAGTATTTAACTATAAACTTTGGTCTATAAAATATTTGTTTAAACGAGGGTGGTATCATAGACGTAAATAGAAATTATTTTGTCGGTATCCGGTAACCAAAAAGCACCATCAGTTTCTCGAAAAAAAAAAAAAAAAAAAGAAGACAAATGTTTATCTAACATTTATTTTTATTCGCTTGTGAACAGTGCTGCTATATGTAAAAAATGCTTTTTGTTATTTGAATTAAATCAAAAGAAAATATTTGAAAATTTTAAATTTATTTGAGGAATTAGTTTCATTATGAAGTCTTTATAACGACAGTACAGAAAACCTGTGGTAAACAAGGTTTTAAATCTATATGCAGTAGCTATTATATTAAAGTATTGAAAAAGTGTTTAAAATTAGAAAATTAAAAATTTTTTTTAAAATTTTTAAAAATTTACCTTTAAAAAACAGAGTTGTTTAACAGAAAGAAAGCCTACTTTGTGTTGTAATCCTGTAAAATTTTTGTTGTAATACCCCGGTTCTTGAATGTCGATGGCATCAGAAGATGCAAAATCAGATTCATAGTGAGTAATTTGCTAACAAAACACGTTGTATTGCTCGTTGTTTTCAACGGAACATTGCAAATTTTTATGTTCTCTTAAGGTAACCAACAATAAAACGTTTTGTGGCTTGCAAGTGCTTACACAGATAAACCGTATAACCGAAAAAAAATTGAAACCGAGAAATAATCCACGATAACCCATCCTATTTGCCCATTGAAGAAATTTACGTAAAAGGTCAGCTAAAAAAAAATGATTTATGACGTTAAACGTCTGTATGAAAAGACTAATTTTTAAAACAGGATAGAAACTTTTGCAAAAAAAACAAAAAAAAAAAAA